CACCCGCGGTCACCGCCGCCGCCGCCCCCGCCCCGGCAGGCACAATCGCCCAGGGCAGCCGTCGCTCGGCAGCCTTCCAGTATGCTCTTCGTTCTAAGCGGAGGTACACCCGCTGCGCCGATCTCTGTGTAGAGGGCGGAGAACTTCATTCGGTTTGAAAAAGCTTTGAAGGAGGAATTTCACAAGAGGATGCGAAAAAATTCTCTCGTTTTCTTCTTCTTTCTGCGTTAGGGCCATCAAGTAGTCACGACACGATTTCAACACTTCCTTTTAAGTTGCACTTTCTTCTTTCTCCTGTAATCCTTCATCTTCTCTCATTTTTGTTTTCATTTTCCTCTCTTCGGATCATTTTGCACCAGTTTTTCTCTCCTTCCTTCCCTGGGACCCTTTCATTTGCGGCCATTTATTTTTAAAATATTTCTTTCTTACGTCTTTTCATTCAATCTTTAATTTACTTCACAGTTCCGAAAGTCAATGTCTCTTGTTAGTGCTTCAAAAGTGGTCTGCGACAGCAAAAATTCTGTTGAATAAAACTACACAAAATTATAAATACCCTTGTTTTTATTTTTTAAATTGTTATTAAGCTGAGAATTTGTAATAGGTATGAACAAAACATATGAAACACTTTATATTACTAACCACATTCTCTGTTGCTGAAGCTAATTTTCTAATGATCTACCTCTGGTATTCACTTTAGAAGATCGCTCCGTCGTATCAAACAAGACGGAAAGTAAAAATATGGTTCAGCGAGGAAAAAATCCATGAATGAGAAAAAATCTGCCGCCATGGAGGTATTTCATTCTAAACTTCACAACTGTTTTTAATCTAAGTAATATTGCAAGGCACGAGCGCCTTGAGTTTTCCCCTTTCCTGCATCGAACAACCACCGGGCCCTCAAATGAAAACTGAAGATGTAACTTGAGCAAATTATTTCACGAATCTCGCAATTTAAAAAAAAATATTCATGAGGTCGTTTTTTATGAATACAGAATACCGAATAAGATGCTCAAGTATCTAAGAAAGTAAAGTAAGAATTTTTCAAAATGAAATTTTGGGGAATTGAATACTTTCAATTGAGATGCAAAAAATCAATGAATAAAACTAAATGTTTTCTATTTTTGTTGTATTACATAGTCTCGCATTATGACTTTTTCTCTTGGGCGAAAAACAGCTGATTGTTATTCATACAAAATTATCATTTTACACTTTGCAGATATAAAATGATATAAAATGTGGAAAAATATGAATATTTGTAAAAGAATATATCAAAAATACGAATACCGTTTGCGTTCTTGATAAATAATATCTCTTAAAACCTGTAGTAGTCAGCCTTCATGAACACTTTGTACCTCATTTATTCACGTACCTCGTTATATTTCCTTAATGACCTGGTGAAATCTATCTCCGTTCTCAAAGGAGCGTTTTTCATCAGTTCATGGAATTCTTTCTAAGATATTTTAATTTAATCTTTAATATACTTTACACTTGTGAAAGTCAAGTATGTCTCTCCTTAGTGTTTCACAAATGGTCTGCAGCAGCAAAAATCCTGCTGAACAAAACTACACAAAATGGTATTCCAAAAAGTGTCACAACCACTGCTCAAGAACAATAAATATAATACTTTCATATAATACTGCAGAAACAGTATAGTATAGAAAAGTACAGGCAACAGTTTTTTATGCCAAGAATATCAATAATATTGCTGTTTATGCAATAACACATGAATATAAAATATTTAAAGGTGGGTAGCCTCTTCCTTGGATTCCTGCTGCGTGACGTGGCGCTCTGAGAATGAACATTTTGTCGGTATGCGCAATATGAAAACATGCAGAATAACCCAATCAAATATTGTATATTGTTCAATGAAAATCGTGTTTCATTGTTTTTGGATTTTCCCCGTGTTCCCCGTGTTCTAACGAAACCATACCGACCTCCCGCGTGGTCAGAGGCTGTATAATATTTTTTTTTCAATTCCTGCGCTCCTTGAAAATGAGTATCGTAGATGTCTTCAAACGAATATACAAAATGGTAATATTCATTAAATACAAAATATTTCTCCTCATCCCATAAAAATATGACCTGATATAAAAAACTATTTGTAGATTTGGATTTATCCTATCAAAATTGGGCCTTAAATCTTATTCAATTTCCTTTAAAAAGTTATGGAGACACGTACTTGCAGCTTCTCTGCAAGAGGATCAGAAATTTTTATTTCGTGGTGTGGCGGATTATTCAGTACGGTCCTCGAGCACATCTGTTTTATATTAGTCCTGTACTGAGTAACAAATGCTTGTAAAAAAGCTGAGTTAATTGCTTGTAATAATATAATAATAAGTAAAAGTAATAATATGCCCTGTTCATTCGCTCCGTTGATTGATTCGTTGATGTCCGAGTGCAAAGGAAATTATCCCCGTAAGTGTAGTGCATGTTTTAACGCTGGCTGTGGCAGTGATCTGCTCTAACTTCCCCGTCCAGGTATCTCCTACCTGATCTAACTGCCCCAGCCGGAGCAAGCTCTAAGATTCCGACATATGTGATAAAGTAGTGCATGTAAGTGTACGTTTGTATAAGTAAGAGGTGAGGAAACAACAAGAAAGAGGAAGGAAAGATAGTCCATCATCCATGGCCCGTTTGTTATGTTACAATCGCCTGGTATTTATCGGAGAAACCACAGAATACTACCACAGCAACCTCCTGCTAGAATTCTCCTTCATACAGTAGCTTAATTCGACCTGGCTGACAAGGTAGTGCCTAAACTCCTGACAGCATCGGGATTCGAACCAATCAGAGGCACCTCCCAATTCGGGACGTCCCTATCAGAGGCACTGCAGTGACATTACTTGATGCACAGAGCGACTACGAGCGTTGTATATACCCTTTCCCTACGACCTCCATCCCTATATCTGTCTCTCTCTCCACCGACGCCCGTGCTGATGAGCGGTGTGGGTGTGTTGTTTCAGGCCTACGACTGGTGGCTGCATGACATGTACCTTAACAATCAGCTGCCGCTGCCGGTCAACTCCAACCCGGGCATGGTGCTGCCTCCGCGCGCCTTCTCCTCGGCCGACGACGCCGCTCGCTTCGCCGCGCGCCTCATCATGGGCGTGGTCGAGCACAAGGCCGTGCTGGACAGGTGCGTCTCGGCCGGCGGTTGCTCACGCGAGGGGAACCATTTAGGTAGTGGAGCTTTCATTTAAGCTTGCGACATCGCATGTTTTTATTTTATTTTACGATCGCATCTATATATATTAACCACTATTGCATTGAACGATGTGGTAACTATGAAGATGACATGATATGGTGATGATAGGGGGTGAAAGGATGAACGCAAATGTAACTATGCCCGAGGTGGAATTCGAACCCGCGATCCTTCAGTCTGAGATCGCTACGGCACTATTGCCTTAACAATCTCTGCCATCCGGACCGGCGTCGTGTGTTTCTAAACATTGAAGCCTAAATGAGAACATCGATGTTAATAAACCATCGACACTAAACCATCAACACTAAACCATCGATGTTTTTAAACCTGGATGTTTATCTGGATGTAATAACCTGGCTGTAAACCATCGATATTTTTAAAACTGAATTAGAAACCACATAAGTCCATGCATAGGGGGGCAGGATTTAATTTGAAAGCGATATTGTTTATTAATTTTAATCAGACATAACTGACAAAAAAGGAAATTATTTGTGAATGTAATCGATTGCATGGCCTTGTTCAACAGGTGCGTTTTTGCTCAGAAAAAGGACTTGTGGTTTATTTTTAACGAGCATGTTTGGATTCACTATTGCTGTGACAATTGAAACAGTAATATACCGAATTCTTTGATATCTCGTATTTTTAACATTCCCTTATTCACACAGTGTGCAATACATAAAACTTAGATAAGACGAAAGATGTGGTAATTCAATATTATTCTATACAGATAAGTACTGAACTTGCACTGTATTATCCTTTTAATAAAACTGAGCGCCGAAACCCAAATGTAATCAAACAAATCTCTTGATAAAACTAATATTATTTTTACTCAAATTTCATATTTATTATGCACCCTTTTTCTGTCAATTGAAGTGTTGTTATGTTTAAGAATCGACTGTTGTAATTATATTTCAAATTCTAGCTTTTTTCGAATTTTAATATGTCTGATATGTTGAATACGTATGATTCTCATGAAACCGGTTTGCGTAATATGAATATATACCAGACTCATTTGTGGCGCTGATTAAGATTACACAAACCCTATGCGTGTATTTTGTTGTCTGAATGGCTGTTAGTGAATCTTTTAACAATTAATATGATATTACTCATTAATAATTTAAGCCAATTTAATCAGTTATAATGTGCATTGGGTGAAAAATAAATATTGTTTATTAGTTCTAATTTTAGAACGCAAAATATACTCCTATATTTAACGAATATTCCTTTCAACTCTATTAATAATTTTATGATTAACATTTGATGACCTTTCACTGCGTGCGTTGACATACACTGCATTTATCACGTAAACCATTTATCATTCTTTTGTTTCCTCTGAAAACCGGCGCAACATCCATGACATCACGCAATCGGACCCGACGCTTTCGCAGCGTACACCAGAGCAAACACGGCGTGAAATAGCTTCGGAATTCCCTGGGGATCACCGATACACGTCAAACCGCTTCCCTCCGATCCAATTTATTCGCGGCTCTGATTGCAGCGGGTGGCGCGCGCGCGCGGGCCGCGGAACGCACCAACGCGCTCTGGTGTCGCGACGCACGAAGCTCGGTCCCCGGCGGCCATAAGGGCGCGGGTGGCGGCGGCGGCGGCGGCGG